GGTATGAGTGTAAGCCATCGGGTCCAGAACTCAAACTGCGGTTGACTACATGAGAGCCCAGTGACATAGCCATTATGCCAACTGCTGGTCCCAGTTTGTTGTTTTTTCTTTTACCATCCTTAGCCCCTGCCTTTATAAGTAACTGCTCTGTCTCCGGCATGTGCAAAAAGAAACAGTATTAAGAAGATCCTTTAAAAATCTTGTTTGGGGAACCCTCTAGCTCTCATCTCTTTCCCCTTTATGTCCTCGTATCTCCTTCCAGACCTTTCCTTTGTTACTAAGATGTAACCAGTTCAGATCATGTCTGTTTGAAAGTCTCGGAGATCATTTATGGTCTTTGCTATGTTTACTTCCTTGTCTTCCCAGGGGTAGCCTTGTGTAGATGAACTGCTACTAAATTAGTTCTTCCTGGCTGAGCTACAACAGCTTCATTTTCATCACATCTATTGACAGAATGTTGATGTGATGCCAGTAAAGTATTCAACCACATCATGGCACTTGGTTGTATATCCTGGTCTTACTATTCACGGTTGCATGACCTGGGTACATTCTCTGACTTCTTGAGTTGTGATTTTTCTTAACCAAAAAATACAGATGGGTTCACTTGCTTTCTCACTTTCTCTGTTTGTCTCTGTGTCTCTCTGGTGAACCCACATGCCCTATAGCAAATTTAAAAAATTATATATGTAATGAAAATAATAAGTAAAATTTAATAATTCTTTAAAAATATAAATGATGAATTTATGTAGATTATAATTGGTTCTTTGAGAGTACTTTGGAAACCATTGGTGCAGTACAGGTGGGAAGTGATGTTCTGGAATGTCTTGAAGGATGTCTTCTGAGGTTGGGTGTACTGAGACATTTGGGGATGAATGCGTCTCTGAAGGTGACTGGGTTTGCCAAATGAATACCTCCTCAGAGGGGAGGAACTGGGTGTGTGTGGAAGGAGCTCAGACTTTGGATTCACCCAGCCCAGTTGAGAAGATGCTGGCTGATCTCTCAGCTTCATCTATAAAAGACATCTGAAGACCTCCTTGTCAAAGCTGTGGTGAGCAAAGAGATTGAAGTTGAAGACAAAAGAATTTGGAATCTGTGGTCTATCACTGCAGTTCAGAGCTGCGGGATGGGATACGGTCACCTAAGGAAGGAATGTAGAGGGAAGACAGCAAAGCGGGTAGAGCCTTGGGTGAGGAACCTCTGGTTCCTGGTGCTGACACCCTGTGGCTGGGTCTCTGGAAGCCTCCCTTATTCTAGCTTCTGTTCTCTGCCAAGTCTGCTCTATAGAGTGACAAGCAGCTGCAGAGGCATTGCATGAGATAGCACTTTGATGCTGTGTAGCAAGGGTTCCAAGTTCACCTGACCGCATACCCAGATGACCTCACATAGGTGGAGGGCCAAGGCTTTTTCAACATGCATATGCCCATACAGTGTGTGTGTGTGTGTGTGTGTGTGTGTAAGTGTGTATACTGTGTTCTTTTGAAGGGGCAGCTGCTCCCTGGCTCTGTGGACTATTGCCCTGTGGGAATGTGAATCTGGGGAAATCGGTCATCTGACTTTTGAAGAAAAGTCAAGGGTCTGGATTTTTGGGTGACATCTTCAGAAATATTGGCCAAATAAGGAAAAAGAAAACCACTTTGTGGCCCAAGTAACACACATCTGTTGGCCAGATTTGGCTGTTGGCAGCCTGCTGGTGGCCTCTGCTGCAGAGTGTTCTATAAACATGACCTGTTATTATTGGATGTCCTGGAATTTATAATAACCTCCCTGGAGCTTTATGTTGGGGCCCTTCTACGAACACCTCCATGCTTTCTTTGCTGCCCTTAAAACTCCCCCATTTTGATTCAGACTCCGGGGACTTTAAATTTGTGCCATATAATTTGAAGAGATTCTGAATCCAGGTGTGCAGGCCAGACTAGGAACTGTATCTCTGTAGAGGGAGATTTGGGGCATTGACATTATGGTCTTTACTTCTCTTCCAAGGTCAAGGCATAGATTGTCACTGCCAAACTTTCACAGTGCCCCTTGGTTCTGCTGCACCACCAGGATCAAAATGCTGCATCGTGTGTCCTTAGTATGTGTGTATCTTTCTTAGGAATAGTTTTTTCATTGCTTTATTTTTTATTTGTGTTACAGAAAAAAGAGTTTGACGTGGACGCCCTCAGTAAATCAGAGCTGCGGATGCTTCTCAGTGTGATGGAAGGGGAGCTAGAGGCCAGAGACCTTGTCATCGAGGCCCTGCGGGTAAGAACTGCTGGGGCTAGGTCTTGTTGTTTTGTCATTTTCTTTTTTCAAAGGGTCAGTGGCAAAGCTTCTGTTTGTTCATTTTTGAATCAGATAAATTTAGATTGCTACATCAAGTTAAAATGGGCCCTTCACCCCAAACACCAGCCTATAACCATTATAAGCCCCCAAAACTATGGAAGTCAGATGGCCATCAAGATGGTAGTGATAGAGAGTAAATGGTTTAATATGGGGAACTGGAAAAGCTGTATTCGTTCAGAATCCTTTTATGTTGTACATGTTTCTTTGGTTAAGACATTTGTTTTCAGAAGGTTGGTAATTTAGTGTCCTGTGTGTATGAAAGGGCATTGAGGGAAAATTAAGAGAATCATTTATATAAAAAAAATTGCTGATAATAGATCTTTTTTACTCCTGTATAAATTTAAAAGTATTTTCTATTTTCAGAAGTGCATATGCATTAAAAAGCAAATGTTTACATATATATTGGGTCATCGGAAAAGTCCTACATTTCGCATGGAAAAACATAGACAGATGTCATGACTTTTCCAACAGCCCAGTGTAACATATAAATGTTTATGTCTATGTATTTTTATTTGATCTTTAAAAGATCTGAAATATTTCCATAATAGCGTGTGAAGAACATATTACTTAAATGCTTCAATAAAGTTTTCCTTAAAAAAAAAAAAAAAAAACAAAGTTGAGGGCCAGTCAGCAGTTTGATGGTTAAGGCAGCTGGATTCCACATGACCAACTGCATGGTTCAAGTCCTGGACTGGTGGCTTGAAAAGTATGCTGGGTGCATGTGCCCAAAATCCCAAGAGAAGAATGGAAGAGAAAGAACTGTGGCTTGGCCGTCCACCATGGGTGGTGCTTTCTGTCTGTCTGTCTCTCTTTCTCCATCAAGTGCTCTATAGCAATTTTTTAAAAAAATGTTGATTAAACTTTCTTGATGCAATTTTCTAATGGAGTATTCTATATCTTGTACTGTATTTGGTATATAGATTAAAGTTTTTGTCTATTTTTTTTTCTTTTATGTATGATACTTTGTAGTATGTAGTTAGGTATTTCCTGGCTCTGGGTCATTTATATATGTATTGTGTGTGTGTGTGTGTGTGTGTGTGTATACATATATATATATAT